TTAATCTTTTATATTTTAAGCACGTTTTTGATTTTTCGTGTAAAGGATGTTAAATGAAATTTTGATATCGCTTCCGCATTTGATATATTTAAATACTCATTTCATTTTAACATTTCCGGGGCCGTTACAAAATATTTATATATTTATTAGTAGACAACTTCGAACAAAGCGTAACTCCGAATCAAATTAATAAAATCTTATAAATGAATCTCCGTATCAACCATTTAAGTGAATAATTTTAATTTTTGAATTAATTTATATTATTAAAAATACTTTATTGTATTTAAATTATATATCTTCCTCTAAGAAGGGGTTTATATATACGTGTGTGTGTGTGTGTGTGTGTGTATATATAGATAGTAAAGAAGTGACAAATTAAAGATCAATATACAATTAACTTACACTCTGCGTCAAGGCAATGCCAAGATCAAAAGACAAGACAAATTATCCGCCAAGGAAATTCATTCATCGAAGGAGAAAAAAAAAAGCTTCAATTTTGTATGAACCCAGAAGAGCTTCTTCTATAAAAACCCTTTCCATTCAAAGATTTTTCTCACAGAAAAACAAAATCAGCAGAATATACAGATTTAATCGTTACCCACAATGGCATTGCAGACAATCATCTCGGCCTCCATTTTCGCAGCTCTAGCGACGCTGCTAATCCTCGCAAAAGGTTCCCACGCCGGCGGAATCGCCATCTACTGGGGCCAAAACGGCAACGAAGGAACTTTGGCAGAGACTTGTGCCACCGGAAATTACCAGTACGTCAACCTAGCTTTTCTCGCCACCTTTGGTAATGGTCAGAAACCCATGATCAACCTCGCCGGCCACTGTGATCCTTACTCCAATGGCTGCACCAAGCTCAGCTCTGAAATCGAGTCGTGCCAGAAACAAGGCGTTAAGGTCTTGCTTTCCCTCGGAGGTGCTGCCGGCAGCTACTCCCTCTCCTCGCCGGAAGACGCGAGGGACGTTGCAAACTATATCTGGAACAATTTCTTGGGTGGAAAATCATCTTCCCGGCCGCTCGGTGCGGCGGTTCTCGACGGGATCGACTTCGATATCGAAGGCGGAACTGGAGAGTACTTCGACGATTTAGCCAAATATCTTTCGAGATTCAGCAAGAGGGGGAAGAAAGTTTATCTGGGTGCAGCTCCTCAGTGTCCGTTCCCCGATGCTTGGATCGGAAAAGCTCTGAAAACCGGCGTGTTTGATTATGTCTGGGTGCAGTTTTATAATAATCCTCCGTGTCAGTACACGTCTGGCGGTGATGAGAATTTGAAGAAGTCATGGGAACAATGGGTGGCTGATATTCCGGCTGATAAGATTCTGTTGGGACTTCCGGCGTCTCCTGAAGCCGCCGGCAGTGGGTTCATCCCCGTCGATGATCTTGTTTCGGAAGTTCTTCCGGCGATCAAGAATTCTGGGAAATACGGTGGGGTTATGTTGTGGTCCAAGTATTATGATGATCAAAGTGGGTATAGTTCTAAGATCAAGAGCCATGTTTAGATGATCATATACATTTTTGTATATGTATATGGTCGGATTATATATATATATATGTGTGTGTGTGCGCCTGTGTTTTATCTTGTTTTGACGATTTGATGTTGCATGAGCATGGAATGTATTTTTCATGCATATCTGCAATATGTTGTATTTACACATTGATTTCTACTGTTTAATGACGGTCACCTTTTGCCGTTAATTTCTCTTTTCATTTCTTATGTTAATGTGTGTGTGTGTATATATATATATTATTAATTAAATAATATATATATATATATATACGTCTCTTATTATTATTGAATATATTGTGAAAAAATATAATTTAAAAATATAAAATTATTTTTAGATTTTCTAAGCTTTAATTATTTTTTAATAAAAAGAAAATTAATTAATTAATTTATTTGGAAAAAGAAACGTTTTTTTTTTTCTTCTTCTTCTTCTTCGTCTTCTTCAGTTCAAAGTCAAAAGAGTACGCACCATCAAATCTCAAGCTCCCTCCAAAAGAATGGCCGGAAACATGAAACCGACGGCCAAAGAAACCCACGAAACCCTAATTATCAAATCAGCAATATTTTCCAGACTCCTCCTGCTAACCCTAATCGTCCTATGGCGCAGCCTTGTCTCCCCTTATGACACCTCCGCTTCCATCAATCCCACTTGCCTAGCCACCGCCCGCAACCGCTCCTCTTCCCCTCCTCATCCTCCTCTCTTTCCATCGCTCGGTTCTGCCATCGAAAACGGCGTCGTCTGGGACAGCGTCTACTTCGTCCGCATCGCGCAGTGCGGCTACGAGTACGAGCAAACCTACGCGTTCCTGCCGCTGCTTCCCATTTGCATTTCCATCTTATCGCGCACGGGTTTGACTCCATCTTATAAGCTAGAATCATCAGTATCTGATTTCGATTAGGTGTTTTTCTTTTTATGGGTTGTTTGTTGATTTTGTGTTCTTCTTGGGTTCTGCTCCAGTTTTTGCACCGTTGATTCCCGTGATTGGGTACAGGGCAGTGCTGGCTTTGGCAGGTTACTTTGTTAACAATGTTGCATTTGTGTTGGCAGCTGTTTACTTTTACAGGTAACAAGAATTGATTCACTGTTAATAACTTTGCATTTGGTGAGGTTTGTGATATTGGGTTAGAGCCAAATGCAGTAATCTGCTAAAAAGTAAAGTTTTTTTCTTTTGGATATCTAAACTTCATAGTTCTGGCAGTTCTTTCTTGTTTTGGTTTGGAGGGTAATGGCATACAATATTAACTTTCTCCCTTTAAATAGTTTCTTCTATTGGAGTGTGAATGGAATATATATTAACTTCATGTAAAGTAGCTGGCACAAATTTGGAACTTAGATATTTAGCCATTCCCCTAAGTTTATATTTGCTGTTAGGTACTTCAGGTCAGCTAATACATGGGTTGGTTGGTGGAGTCACTTGTGATCTGCAAAAACTTGGGATGAAAAGTTTTGATCAGACTATTCTGATTAGGAGGAGATCAAAATGAGACAACTGCTTTTTTTTCTCTCTCTTTTTGGGGGTGGGGGTGGTAGCTCATACTAAATGGAGTGAGCAAGATACATGTTGGAATAATATGACCTTTTATGATCATTGGTGACCAATTTTGTCATAAATGAAATATTGCCATTGTTTGTTGTTGTCATTACGTCGCTTGGATTGTAGCCATAATTTAACTGTGTTTTTGAAGTTATGATGCAATTTCTTTTAGATATATGATTATCAATGATGATCATGTTGGAACTTGGAATTATTCATCAAATTGTTTGACCAGACTCTTGAGTATGGAAGATTGATAAATTTCGCTTTAATCTATCCTTTGAATGTAATATATCACATTTCTTTTGATTTAGGACTTCTGATTGTTGTCATTCTAACAGGCTTTCAGTTAATATCTTGGAGGACCCAGAGACAGCGTTTCGAGCTTCTGTACTGTTCTGCTTCAACCCAGCTTCCATATTTTATTCCTCAATGTAATCTTCTCATACATATTGAGTTGATGTCCAGTAAAGACTAAATGAAGGTGACCAGAGAATATTTATCTTTTACTTGCAATTGCAGATATTCAGAGAGTTTGTATGCTCTATTTTCAATTGGAGGAATGTACCACTTAATATCTGGTGCAAACAATACTGCTGTCCTTTGGTTTGCTCTCTCTGGTTTGGCAAGGTCTAATGGAGTGCTTAATGCTGGCTATTTCTGTTTTCAGACAATGCATTGGGCATATGAAGCTTTATTTCTGAAAAAGCGTGTTTCTGTAAGTTATTATTATTCTTTATTGACATGGTCTGTTATGGTGGAAATATTATTTCTGTTTGTAAGGAACCATCATTGCTTTAATTGGACAGCAGTGAGTTATTGCTTGGAAGTTACATACGTTGGACAGTAAAGCTGCATGATTTAGAGAAACGGTTTATACAGTGGAAATTTTTGCTATTTGCTTGATCTAATCTGTTTACCATGGTGTGTTATAGACTTGCCTTCACATTAGAGGACTTTTAAGTTAAGTGGCAAGAAATAGGACGTTATGATTTTAATAGTTGCTGGGAAAATCTCATAATATGTAAGTTATAACATTTTTTTGAGTGAAACATAGAAATAAACATGGAATTTCTGTTAGGAGCTCCTAATGTTACTATGTTTGTGCTGCTTAAATATTAAACTCAACTAACTATCCATTGGTTGAATGGTTGGTACTTCTATCCCGCAAATCGAGCTCATGTGTCTTTCTAGGAGGTTGTGATATTAATGACTTTATTATTATTGTTGTATAGGTGTCATTCAACTATTGAAATATATGGATTTCTACTCCAAAGAATATTCAGTTTCAAAAATGCATGAGCAACATATACTTTATACTTGCATTGGATTTTTGTTGTATATAACATTCTTTTGTCTTTCTAAGTTTTAACCTTTTTTTTTCATTGTATGCATTCATTTTTAATCTACATGGAATGATTAACTGGAATAGCATCAGATGATTTCCTGTGAACTATTTTTGTGATCCATATTATTTTTCTCCTAAAACTCTTCTACTTATGATGCTGTCTATATCATTAGGTATGAACTACACTATTTTAGATTTTTCCTTGTGTTTAACTTTGCTATCAGTCAAAATGAAAAGTAACTTTATAGGTTCATGACTATCTGTTCATCTCTAATATTATTCTGTGAGGTTTAGTTGGCGTGGCACCTGATCAGTTAAGTTTCATTGGTTGGCAACTTTTACTTTTTAATTTTCCTAACAATCAAAATAAAGCCTCGTTTAGGTACCTAGTCGCTATTATGTCTTGGCATAGCTAAAAATATTAGCTCTGTGACTGTTGGCATGGCAGTTGGCAATGCAGGTTCTTATAACTGGAGCTTTTCGCTGCTTATGCATTTGTATTCCTTTTGTTGCTTTTCAAGCATATGGATACTACAACATTTGTCTTGGACGGTGTTTAGATGAACTGAGGCCCTGGTGCAGAGCAAGAATACCTCTGCTGTACAATTTTATTCAAAGCCATTATTGGTATGTTCTCTCCATTAACTTGTGATTCTTCAATGCTGAGAGACTGTCGCTGATTTTGTCAAAATTTCCATATAATAAAATCATGGTAGGTAAACAATTATTCAAGAGCAAAATTTGGGAATAAGTACTTGTTTGGTGCCTTTTTAATAATATAAAGCATTACTTGCCATCCTGATTGCCAGTGGGAATTTATCTATTTATTTAGTTAATTAATATGTGAATTTAGTGGGATCCAAACTTGGGCAAGCATTTAATTTAGTTTCTGATCTGCCATTGATTTTTCATTTCTAGCTTTCGGTAAAAGTGAACTATGTGGGACTTGAGACGTGGGGAGTGAAGGGAGGAGGAGCATTGACATGCTTATGCGATTCCCTTAGGCTCCAATTAGTTTTACTGACCTACCTGTTAGAGATAAGGCTACTTACAGCTATGTCTCCCCATGCCTGCTTTTGAGGGTGAAAATTGTCTTTTGCTTTTTAAGCTTGTTAGACCACAAGCGAGGAAGCAGCTTATCAGGATTTAGGAGCGCAGATTGCATAAGTATTTAAAGCATGATCTTCATGCACTTATAGTTTCCATTTTGCCTTATCTTATCTAGAAGAGGTAGAATATATAAACACTTGGAAGTGGTTATCCGATGTTGAAACCTTCGTTTCATTGATGGTTTCTTTTGATCCCAGGGGAGTTGGTTTCTTGAGATACTTCCAATTAAAACAGCTACCAAACTTTCTGCTTGCATCACCAATACTGTCTTTGTCGGTTTGGTCAATTGTACATTACGTGAAGTCACGGACAGAACTTTCACTTTCACTGGGTTTTCAACTTAGCAGTGAGGAAAAGAATTCTGCAGCTTGGCTTTATTCCCTGGAGACTGTCCCAAAATCAAAAGATGGCCACATTCTGGAGAAACCATCTTCTGTTGTACTAGGTATTTACCTTGAAAAATAAATTAGGTTCTAGTTACTTATTTTTATCAATGCTTTGGCACAGACTCGAACCAGCTTACATGCATATGCATTAAGCTATGCCTTGCTGAACTACATGCTTTTTGGTGCTTTCTATTGTCATATATAAACTACCTTTCTTGTTGGGCATTATAGATTTACCTTTCCTAGTAGCAGCTTACACACTAAATTTAGAAGGATTTCATCTTTTTACCATTTGTTGGCAGCGTATTGGTGGTGATTTAGTCATTTATTATTTTTGAAATAGAAAAGCACGATCTGAGGCAGAGGAAACAAACAAGTAAGGCAGGGGATCCTGCTGAACTGCATGTAGAATATGAATCACCAGCCAAGTCAGGATATTTATCACCTTCCATTCTTCCATTCGTTATACACTTGGGTATCATGGTAGCTACAGCTTTCTTCGTCATGCACGTGCAGGTTAGACTTTCTTGTTGGTTTTGTAATTTCCTTTAAGGAATACGAAGTCAGCAAACTCCGTGCTTTAAGATTGTTTTTATATTTATTTACTTTATACTAACATTTTTGTTTTTCCTTGCATGTAGTTAACATCTGTGAATTGGAACCATGTACTTTGACAACATTTTAGGACTAATTTTTATTTCTAACATTCAAAGCAGAATCTGATTACTTTACCGATTAAAACATGCTAACATCTGAAACTGATGTTGCCTTCTAAATAAACTTGTAGTTCAAAAAGTTCTTAAAGGAACTTAGCTTATGCCTTTTTCTGTTTGTCTATAATTGGTAAAACACTAAAATTTGAATCATCTATTCTCAAACTACTTCCCCTGATAAATTTCCAAGTTATCACAATTTCATTATTAATAAGGGTGATTTTTTCCTTTTTCTTTTCTGAATTTTGTCTTCGGATATGAGCATGTTTTCAGCTTGGCTTATCATTAAAATTTCCGGAGATATTTTAGTGACTTTTAAGAATGGCATGTTAATTAATTACTGCTTCATTTCTTTCCACCAAATGGCTGATTAATTGTGTATCATGACATATCCTGATTTCTGAACCTCTGATACTTGATAATTGACAGGTTGCAACACGGTTTCTGTCATCCAGCCCTCCTCTTTATTGGTTTGCTTCATATTTGATGGTATCTCCCGGTATGGGTAAGCGACGGGGATATATGATCTGGACATACTGTGCAGCCTACATTCTCCTTGGCAGTCTGCTCTTTTCGAACTTCTACCCTTTCACGTGACAATACCTGGCTGATTGTGTCGTTTTTGTGACATGCAACGATCCTTCTCTTGCATCTTGGTCTTGCAACATTTTCTGGCACCAGATCGCCGCCTCTACCCAAACCAAAAATACTTTAAGTTTCGTTTGGTTCAATTCTCATCTAGTTCCTATTCAGTTACGAGTTCCAATTGCCATTAGTCTTAATATGCATGATTAAAAAATAATTTGTCGTGTTTGAGTTACTACCATCTTATCTTGAATGTCTTGATAATAAGAATTAAATCCTTAACTTTCGAGTTTAGGGTTCAATTCTTATCGTTAAAAATTTTAGATACGTTGGTGATAATTCTAACATAATAAATTATATTATAATTATGCACCTGAACAATCGAACGAGAATTGAATCAAATGCAATAGCGAATTTGTGTTTTCGCAGATACTAAAAGCATATGCATTTGGTGGGAGCTCTACGATTGGTTCAAGCAAAACGGCTTCGTAGATGCATTGCGTAGCGACCAGAGCAACCAGATTCGCTTTAGCCTGTCTTTTATCATGTTCGATGTAGAATTTGTCGATGGATGAGTTCATGCATTCACCATTTCTTCTTTGTCAACTTTGATGATATTCTTTGTTCTTCACTTCCAAACATTTGTATTAGGAAGGTCAAGATTTTAGTTTAAATTTACATATAGATGCATTTATTTAACATGTTTAATATAAATCTGTAAATTATGAATCTTCTGTTAAAAAGCATGAATAGAAGTAAAGATTTTATTTATTCGATTAATTTGTCAATATTTTATTAAAAGAATGTATCATGTATATTATATAATTTATAATTTCTTTATTGAAATTTAATTTAAAAAAAATATATTTTACTTATTCGAGCTCGATTAGTTTAATTTTTGATAAAAATTAATTTTTTTTATAGTAAAAATTTATATATTCAAAAAGAATATATGTATCGTTAGTCATAATATAATATTCTAACGAGAATACATAAAATACATGGTTTGATTTAGAAGTGTAGGTTTCTTGGGTTGGAATTGAAAAATTAGAATAAATTAACTAAATAATATTTGGTTCGGTCTTCGGTTCGGGGATATTGAATTCATTTCGAGTGTTAGCGGGTCGGATATTTGCCTATTTGTGTTAACGGGTCGGATAATTTGGCCCATTTGAGTGTAAACGGGTCGGATAATTTGGCCCATTATATCTACTTTCCTTCTTTATCAATTTCATGCTTACAAAAAGAACAGTTGATGCTTGCTTGGTTATTATGCTGCCTCTGCACGCAGCAGCAGTGTTTCGTGCTCCGCCAAAAACGCACCGTTTTAAAGTCGTCTCCTTGTCCTATGCACTCCTGTGAAACCCTAGGTATCTTCTCTGTGCCTCTATAGTGGTAGTGGGGTAGTCATCTGTGTAATTTTCCACTGATAACACTTGGTCGTGTTTTTTAAAGCCCTGATTTTTGGCGAGAGAATCCGACGAAATGGAGGGGAGAACTGTAAATTTTCATTTTGTTGATTATTATTATTTTTGCTAGGAGAAAGACTATCTCTACTAGGCCGTACTTAGATAACGCTTTGTTTGGTCAATCCGATTGTTTTTGCTTCTTTGTTATTGATTGAACGTGTGACGACAGTAATAACCTTGAAAACGAGAAGTATCAATTGTATAATTGAATGAGTTTTGTGAACGTTTTTTTCGATTTTTTAAATGTATATATATGATAAATGTGTATCTTAACTACAGAATTCGAAAGTGAATACCTGATGATTACCTAACGTGTTTATTGCGTTTTTTTTATTTCATTTTTTCATGCAATTGTTTTTGCTTAATATGTTAGATATGCATCTTCTTTTCTTAGTTTTATGTCTATTTTACTTCAGTAGTGCTTGGATTTTGTGTGGGGTTGGATCATTTGGCAAGAAAGGTTGAATATGTTTTTCGGTCATTTGCCGTGAAGGGTTGATATTGTTATTGTTCAGGGAATATCCTATGCTATAAAATGGCGGGCGGGCCTAGTTTGAGAGTCTATTTTTCTGAAGCTAAAGACTAGAGTAAGCCTCTTATTAATGTATCTCGACCACTAAAAAAGATCAAGTATATACACTACTTGATATGGGAAATAAAATTTGACTTATAGAAGGTAAGAAATTTGCTGCCCGGTTCGTTCTATATGGTTCCAATAATCTTCTTTTACCATATCAAGTAGTGTATATACTTTTATACCTAAATTGCCTACTCCATGGTTTGTGATACACACGGGATTAGCAAATAAGAGTACTGGATTCTTTATGTCAGAATAGGTGGAAATTGTTGGTAAGCTTGCCAATTTTATTCGTCCATATTTGCTATATGTTTGTCTTTGTATAGAGGTAAGGTTTTATCCAGATGTTGAACGGAACAAATGTTTATGGCATATTATTATTATTATCATCATTTTGTGTTTTCTCGAATGTTGTTTAAACTATGAGTGTTGTCTAATACTGCCATTCATCGGTTTTAACAGCTTTCCAAAGCAGTTTATGCATATTGTTAACATTTTGATTCTGTCGGGCAGTTTTTGAAATCTCATTGAAACAATGAGTAGTGTTTAATACTACATTTCAACAATTTTAACAACTTTTAAAGGCAGATTATGCTTGAGATAAATAGCTAAAACTTTGAACATTTGCAATTCCTTACATCTTTTTGACATTTTTTAACTTAAAAACCTTTAAGGATTCCTTGAACTATCTCTTATTCTGGAAATATATCGAATCTGGGTTAGGGCAAAGCAGGAAAGTGTTTGCAGGAAAGGATGAGTTCAAAAGTTGACGAACCTCGGAATTCTAAGACGTCATCCACAGTGTCAACTATTGGTCCTAAGATTTCTATGTTCGCTGCAAAGTCTGGATTTGTTATTCCGAAAAACAAATTGTCTGGTTCACTTGTTCCAGTATTGCGAGGAGTGAAAAAGTCTGGAGGCAGTGATGCTGCCAATGACGAAAGCACCAATCAGGTGCAGAGAAAAACAAAATGGGGACCTGATTTGACACACGATGCTGCTGTGAGAAGGGGAAGAGCATTAGCTTACCAGGTAATAGACACTAATTTCATAGTATACCATTATCTTGTTCACATAAAATTTGAATCAAAATCTTGGCTCTTGGGAATGCCAAGGTAGTTCGCCATGATTTTGGTTTGTTTTAAATATTCTTAATGTTTAATGGGTTGGAGGCATTTGTAGCCCCATTTTGTGGGAGGGATATGTATATTGCTCAGCTACTGGGAATTGAAGATTTCCCTTTTCCCCTTGGGTGCTAAAAATGTCAGTGTCTACCATGTGAATGGTTCACATGGAAACTTCCAATTCCAGGTGCTACTAAGTGATATTACTGCCTGTGTGGTGGTACCAATTTTGAGCAGACTCGGGTGGATCAAATTGCAAAACAGCTGAAATCTGGAACTCTGGATGCTGCGGCAGATCAACACTCACTCTCAGATGTGCAGGACGAGAATGATACTTCTTTGTATTCTCAACTAGACAATGAGGTTAATGATAATTTATTGCTACATTTCTTTCATTTTCTTTACACCAGATAAATTTGTAGGAAAAGTTTCTCGATTATGCATCTTAATTAAAATTTGAAGTTTCTAATTGCTTGTAATGCAATTTGTGGATGTAGAAGTTGAATCTTTTGGAGCTTGAAAGACGGGAAATTATTGGTATGATTTGCCAGA